CATTTATTATTGTCTGTGCAGCAGATGAGTCGTGCCGGGCCCAAGGTCTCTCTCCCTGGAAGACAATGATTCCAGCGCGGCGTTCGATGGGTGATTGTCGGCGCTCGGAGCGGGGGAGGGGGATGAGAGGGTATTAGCGCAGCGGCAGATAATGGCGTGTGAAGTGCCTGGTAATAATTAGATCTCATTGTGCGGCTCCGCCACGGTCATTATTCGGGTATGTTCTGTGCCGCGCGTGAGACCCGGCGTGTACATGAGATCAGTATTGCCCCTCCCCCCGGGGCACTTATCCCCTTTATGTATCATTAAATGTTACTTCATAACGAGCCGCCATCCCAATCATTCCGGGGTCCTCAGATGTATATAATGGAACGTCGGCTCCGGGTCCCCCCCGTGTACAGCCAGTCCGGCGGAATCCGGATCTCTGCCCCCAAAATCACCCGAATCCGAGAAGATTGTATATCCCGTCTTCAATCACATACAATGTAACACCCGATGTATTCTCCTACAATCTGAGCCCCGTATGGTCACAATTGCCCATTTGCTGCCCCGTATGGTCACAATTGCCCGTTTGCTGCCCCGTATGGTCACAATTGCCCCATATGGTCACAATTGCCCCTTTGCTGCCCCATATGGTCACAATTACCCGTTTGCTGCCCCGTATGGTCACAATTGCCCATTTGCTGCCCCGTATGGTCACAATTGCCCGTTTGCTGCCCCGTATGGTCACAATTACCCATTTGCTGCCCCGTATGGTCACAATTTCCCCTTTGCTGCCCCGTATGGTCACAATTGCCCGTTTGCTATAGATAACATCGTTATCTATATCATGATGCAACATATTTATAAAGCTCTGACATATACCGCAGCGCTGTACAGAGATCACTGAGCCAGTCACATCAGTCTCTGTACAGAGGAGCTTACACTCTAATGTCCCCCCGCCCACAGTCACATCAGTCTCTGTACAGAGGAGCTTACACTCTAATGTCCCCTCCCCCCCAGTCACATCAGTCTCTGTACAGAGGAGCTTACACTCTAATGTCCCCTCCCCCCCACAGTCACATCAGTCTCTGTACAGAGGAGCTTACACTCTAATGTCCCCCCCCCCCCAGTCACATCAGTCTCTGTACAGAGGAGCTTACACTCTAATGTCCCC